GCTACTAGGAGCGAAGGGCATCGCTACTAGGAGCAAGAAGCTGGTAGGGTGGAGGCAACCGCAAACTGGATCAGATGAGGTTGGACGGGCCCATTGGCCACAATTCCCCTACACGAGACGACAAGACATGAAGGATTAACCATTTAACAGGCCCCTGGTTTTTCCTGTTCACACAGACGGTGCAGCGCCTTGCAAAGAACACACTGCCTCCCGTTCTTTGGCACTATACATATATATATATATATATGAGGGCCGTCCGTTATTGCCAGTGAAGGAATTTCGATCAACTGTTAAAACAAACATGTCGCGAAAGGGAAACTGCAGTCCGCGAAAGGCCGGCGATAGGACAGCGAAAGACATGTGCCAACCTAGACTTACATACAATGTGCGTAATACATGACACATCCTTTTTCCCGAACAGAAACACGGATTTTCGCGAAAGGGCTGCGAAAGGCCGGCGGTAGGCCCGCGAAAGAGCGCATTGCCTGGAAGGGCATTTGCCCATCCATGGCCTTGAAATAAGCCTTGAAACCTTTGTTTCAAGTATGAATTGACAAAGGGTAATTAGCCTGCTTCTCAGCGCACTAAAAGGGATTTAGATGTCCCAAACACTGTGAACTCAGTGCAATGGAACAAGCTCATCACAATGCGCGAAAGGAAAACCTGTGGTTTTTCTGCAAACGCGAAAGGGTCGCGAAAGGCCGGCGATACAAGCTCAAAAAGAAGAGCTTTGTTGGACAACCCCCATATATGTTTAAACAGTATATGTTGTAGACATTTTATTTATTATAGATGAATTATATAGGATTGCTCTCCGGCCAACACCCTCTCAATGTCCTTGGTGTGCTGTTTCCCAAGCCTTTTTGTTCTCTTGCGTTTCCAGCTTCTTCATCTTGGTAACTTCCTTCTTTTGGCTCTTTCATCCAATGCATTTTGAGCAAACATCACTTGCAGCTAGTGCTTCTTGCATTAATTTCCTGTGCAGGTTGCCCCTTTTGGTATTATACAAAACCTTCTTGAGCAATTGGCAAGGCGTCTTCGGAATGGTTCTGGAAATGTACCCAGCCAAAGGCACAGAAGATTCTTTTCACTTTGCTTTTGTCAACAGGTGGCATTGGCTTGCTTGTTTTGTCACCTTTCTTGTTTTCATCCACCTCAACCCAAGGTGTTGTTTCAAGCTTCAATTGCAAGGCTAAAAAGGTATGAAGTCCATGCGAGTAGTTGCATGCTCTCATATCATATCCGTGCCTCTCATATGTACACTGGCGTATGTGCGCTTTCATGTGTGTGTGTCCTCTCGTAAACGTGCCTCATACGTGGTTCGTTGATATGTTGGCTCTCATATGCTCTGAAGTGGCTCTCTGTCTCATATGTGCTGTGCGCTCTCAACAAAAAGGGGCGTGCTCGTTCCCATGTGTGCCTTCTCACGCAGGCCTGTGTTCTCATGCGTGCGCATTCAGTGTATACTCTTACACTCACTGCTCTCATAGGTGTGCTCCCATACTTGTGCTCATATAAGTACGCTCTCACATGTGTGCCCTTGCGTGTGCGCGCTTTGATGCCAGTTCTCTCATATGGGTGCTTTCATATGTGCTCGCTCTCATGCGTGGGATCTCGCTTTGATGCCAGTTCTCTCATATGGGTGCTTTCATATGTGCTCGCTCTCATGCGTGGGATCTGACATGTGTTTCCTTATGTGTGCTCGCATATGTGTGCTTGCCTGTGCTCTCCTATGCGTGTGCTCTTAATGAGTGTTTTCATATGTGCGTTTTCACGTTGCTGTGTTCCTGTTCGGTGTTTGTTTCAGGATATCATACAATACTTTTTCTGTGTTATCCCCCACACATTCTTTTGGTTGGGATTCTTGCTGCCAAGGTTTGGAGAACATTCTTACACGCTGTAATCACTCCTATCCTCGACGCTTGGATCATGATCGGCCCACGTCTTGGGTCCAACGTGTGTTTTTGACAGTTTTTTCCCATAAACTGGGGGTTAGCAAACTCTGGGTTGCCAAAGCTGCGGAGTGAGAGGGCTGCAAGTTAAGGATATCCTTTGCAGGACGTTCTTGCGGCATTCAAGGGCACAATGGCAGCCCAGCTGGCTTACAACGGCAGCCTATTTCCTTTGGGGTCACCCGGCGTGGAAGTCAAGGACTCTTGTGGTTTAGGGTGTTGTTTCGCAGCTTGAAAGGGGCCTGTGGTTTTATGGATGACCTGTGGGCGCTACAACTACAGTGCTGAAACAAGAGCTGAAACGCGACGCACATACATACTTTCAAGTTTCATGCTGGAATCGATTAGCATTCAAGTTTAAAAGATGCGCCTCACTTTCGATGGTTCTCGATTAGCATCGATTCAGGACTCTTGGACCCCTAGTGCCTACAGCTTTCCAATTGGGAAAAACACAGAGTTTTCCAAATAAAGATCGTATGAATTCACAGCATCCACCGACCGGGTTGCACGCGACCGCTGAGCACGCGACCGAGGTTGTACCCACGGGATCACGCCTTGGGGCTGCGAGCGGTCAAGAGGCTGAGGGAAGGCTTCGCTTTCGTGGGGCTGACAGAGGACGGGGTGAGCAAAGGTTCAAGGGTTTTATATGGTATCATAAAGGCACATTATATGGATTCATAAAGGCACAACTCTTGAAAACTGTCAAAGTTGGGTTATCACCATGGCCATCACGGCCCCAATTCAGTCTCGTTTAGCCAAATAGTTTCATAATATAGCTTGTGGCCTGAAGAAGACTCTGGCCGGTTAACAGAAATGTTTTTCAGACCAGTCACAGCATTGATGAACCTTGGATGATGATTTCGGTGGGGCCTCGCTCCCTACGAGCAATGTGTGTAGCAACAGTACCCTATTTTTTGGCAAGGCCTACTATTAGGATGCCACTTTGTCTTGAAGCAGCACCTGTGCCGGTTTTAGACAAAACCGGCATTGTATATTGGCATGTCCTTGGCATGTCAGCAGTGTGGTTTGCTGCTCCAGGCACTTCCCCCAGCACCCATAGCCTTGTGAGGAGTGGGACTTGTCCATTTGCTTGTTCCACACCATGTTTGGTGGGCCTTGCCATAGCTCGGAGTTTCACAACGCGCGCAAAAGCCATCACCTGAAGAATGCAGATGGTTCTTATGATACGTCAGTCTTGCAAGGCTATCAGGATGAGATAGACGGCTTGGTCTATGCAGAGGCGGTGAGACTTTTTAGACAGAACCTGGCTGTACATAATGTATCGGTGGACTCGTGCCAACCGTGCTTTGCCGATGCCGGTGTGCATCCTTAGCCCCGGTTGTCTGCAAAAAGCTGCGTGTTTGTCAACACGCAACTCCCAGCCATGGCGGGGCTGAGTTCGGTGCAACACCCACCAACTTGCCAAAAAACAACAGGAACTTCACAAACAAATTGAACATATATATATATATATGTATATATATCGTATATATATATATCGTATATATATATATTTGAACATTAAACATTGTAGTTTGTGTTGAAGCAGAGGCACATGTTCGAGTTGTTTAAGTACTATTAAATATATATATATATAATTTAGACAATTGTTTCGAATGATTTTTGGGATTGAACTGAATCAACTAGTAATTCTGAAGGTTGTTTTTGTACTTAAACTATAAAGGTGCTATCAGGGTCTTTGATTGCAGGGTCTTCGAATGCCTTGCGGAAGGATGATGCAAGATGTTTACCGCACAGGCCGGGTGGCAACTTTGGTCAGTCAAGAGCTCTCCAAGCTTAGTTTCCCTACTTGCATTCTTTGGCATTGTTTTTGTTTTCAGGTGTCAACATGAACCTCAACGTCGACCGGGTGCCATTGCGATGTCTTTCCGCGCAGTGTTCTGTTAGGTTTGGGTGAACAACGTGTGAAACCAAGACCGATCATGTGCTAAGCACTGATAGATTTTGGCGATCCGGCGTATGAGGCTTCAAGAGCTACAAAATGCAGCATGTGGATGCAGCCACCAACAGACAGCATGGTGTCCTATTTGAGCAGAGGCATTTTTAGATTGAACTACTCGGTTGAACTTCTGTTCTTCATCGTTTGGAAATGGCCTTTTGATTGGGTCCATCCCGCAAGACATAACAGAACACGGCTGTTGGCTGTGAAGTGACTGTCTCGCAGTTGATGAACTGCCCACTGCTCAGATGTCAAGAGGGGTTTCTTGGGGCTTGGCAAGCCCGGCTTGCATGAAGATGCTCTTCTTTTTGAACCAGCTGAGGGCAGAGCTCCCAGCTGAGGAAAAACGCCAGGACAGTTTGCTTCTCTATCAGGGACAGTTCAATTGAGGGTAGTCAGCTGAGAACAAAGCCAGAGACGTCAGGGAGAACGTCTTCACGCTGCATTCTGCGAACTTTGCACCTTCCAACTGTTTCTGTCCATAGCATGTGGACCAGGCACAGACCAGCAAGCCTCCCTAAAATGTCTTTGGATGAGCTACGCGCGTTTTGTGTGTGAGTTCTCCAGGTCGGTGGCCTTGCGAAAAGGGCCGCACAAAGGGCTTAGGGCAACTGACTTAGTGGGGGGCTCATTCCCTTATCTACTCAGGCAAATAAGCAATGCAGCTTGTTTATTGATCAGCCAGATAAGCTGATCGATAGAAGAGGTTCCTTCACATAATTTGGTTTCAATCGCGAACCTGTCAGTGGAACCTGCAAGCTAACTTTTATACTTGAGGCCGTTCCCAGATTTGCTTGTGAGATCTTGTAGGTATTTTTTCCACAGTGACCACATGACATAGTATTGTTATAGTTGTGAATCACCACCGAAGCTTTGTGTTCTCGCGACCCAAGCATTTGGGAAGACCCAGACGAAGCCGCCGACTCCGAAGCCGAAGGTGAAGGGTCTGGGGTGGTTTTGACCCAAAGTGAGTCGATGTTGTGAGAGGTGCACCACTTAAGCCTTCTGCAACCTTCACTCGGACCCGCGACCGTCCAAAAGGGGCAACCTCATGGGACACCCTTGAAGAGAGATTAATGAAGAATATATATATATAGACTCTTTATTAATACCCCCCATATGAAGAAGTTTCTCAATCCAAATGCGGGTTTTCTTCATCCAGAGTCCACATTTGTAACATGCCAGGTCTCGCTTGTGACCAAAACTCCAACTGTTGTGCCAGGTCTCGCTCCCCGGCGCCCGTGGGGGGACCGAGAAAGCGGAAAAGCCGATGTTCACGGCAGACCATTTCAACAAAAGTTGTCACTTGACTCGAAAGTATACCATCTCCTCATTGGGGTGGCTTTTAGATCCATCCAGTGAGTGAATATTCTGGGCACCCTCACCAGGCCTCCACTGCTGTCCTGGCTCATTGACAAGCCTTGCGTATACCGGTAGACCTCAGTTTGGACTGATCTTGCAGACCCAGAGAAACAGCATCAAACAACAAAATCATCCTACTGTTCCAGTTGGGTGTGAACCACTTTGACTTATGCCAGATCTCCACTCCATGTTTTCTGGGATCGTGTGGCACTCATGCGCCATGCTGACTGGCCAGTCAAGGGGTTGTCGCGGCAAGCTTTATTCTCCAGTCTGTCGATTGTGACGAGGTACGTTTGGACTCAAGGGAAACAGCACCAATGGTTCTTGCACTTTGCAACACTCCGCAAGTGTTTATTCATTTTTGTGGGATGGCAACCGTAAGGAACTCAAGACCTCAAAATACCTTGGTGTTTAGCAGACTTCGAATTTGGGGGTCCAAATGACCCTAAACACAACGGTTCGCCCAACTCCAATGTTTGGATGCCCAGGGGGAGGGCGAAGCCCGCGGAACCGGCATGCTGGAGCTGCGATGCGACTGGGGCCTTTTTATGGCCACAAGCACTCCTGTGAACCGATCTGGGTTCAGTACGAGCACCTGAGGAAATGGGTGTGCTTGAAACCAACCAATCCGTAGACTGGTCTATTTGCTTTCTTCCAGAGGGTGGTCTTCTGGGTGGTCTCCTTAAATTCAGACCAAAGATCCGGACCCTTGAGCCGAGAGTCGAATCGGGTTCTGGAAATGATGAGGATCAAAGGTCGATCGGTGTTGCTTTTCTGACATTGACATCAGGTTCTGGGCACTGCACGTCCTTGGTCCGGAGTTCGAACGTTCGCTCCATTTCCACAGTTTTGGCCAGAGACTGTACATTGTCCTCGCTTTGGGTATGGTGAATGATTTCACCTTGGATCTTGCCTCAGAGATCTCCAACTAAAACCTGGTCCTTTGTGCCTCATTGAAGAAGGTTTTTATATGACCGGATCAAGCACTATGAGATGCTTGACCTGTAGAGATCGTCCTTTTCGGTCCTTTTCCAAAGGCAATCAGATCATTCGAATGTCGGGTACCCGGCCTTCTCACCGGGTCAGGGCACACCCCCCGGGCTCTGCGACCCACGGCGTCCTTGGTCTGTTTTGCACCAGGACTGAGGACAGCTACGAACGGAGCAAGAAGCTACTAGTAACAAGTTCATCGCTACTAGTAGCTTCTTGCAACTATAGTAGTAATGCCGTAATGCCCTTGTTACTACAGTAGTAGCGATGCGCTTGTTACTAGTTTGTTTTCTCTTTTTTTCGGAACCTGAATGACTCGTTCGGTCTGTGGTTTCACGTAGTAAACGCAGTATGTTTTTATAGTCTATGGAACCACTGGGACTCCCAGCGACATTGCGGTTTGCCTGGATCCCCCCCGGGCACAGTGCATTGGAACGACGGACCCCTCAGAAGCCAGGATGGGAGGTTAGCGAGTGAGTGCTGGATTGATGGCGACGGGATTTCCCGGAGCCTTGGATTCTTTTTTTCAGAGAATGGGGAGATGCAAAGAATAGAGACACATGCAATTTCTATCAATTTCTAGTCTTCGCTGAACCCCTGAGCCAGAAAGAAATGGTGGTTCCCATTTGACAAACATGAAAGTGATTGGGACTGGGGAAGCGTTTGTTTCTGGTTGTTCCTGGGTTCCAGACATTTTGTTTTTGGATAAAAGCACCGAGAGCACAGCAGCTCGTCTGTCATTTTTGGTATGTTGGTATGTTCAACACGCTCACATGAAATCTGGAAATCTCAGGCCAAGAGCTGCAGTCCGGGATCTCAATTCTTGTTACTAGCAGTAAGGCCAGAGCTACTAGTAGCGTTCTTACTCCTAGTAGCGATGCCCTTTGTTACTGGTAGCTTCTTGCCTATTTTCTTGACCTGAGTGAGTGAAGCCCCCTGCCATTGGGAAGACCTTTTTGTAGTGAATCCCGGCTTCCCGGGGAGCCGCACATCGAAGTTCATATCGATTCAGGACATGACCTGGGGATGCCCGGATTTCTGGATTCACCAAGCTCCATCAGATTGATCTTCCGAGTGACCAGGTCAGGTTTCGAAAAAGAAACCGGACACCTGTGGGTCAGGTCCCAGGGTTGGATCCAAGGCCACAGAGGTGAGTCAATGATCCGGTCATTCCCACACAAGATCGTTGCGTGTCCTGCTTTCTGGATCTAGAAAGTTGTGAACATGAGTATGCATCAAAAGAGGTTTCAACGTTGCATTTAAAGACTGTTGATGGATACAAAACACCAGGTTCTTACTCAAGTGACCAGTTGTTTGAGACCCTGATGAGTGTGGTCGCTGGTTGGTTCGGTCATGAATCGGGACTCCAAGAAGGTCAGAAATCGAGTCAGGCTATGTCAGGTGATGATGGTCTTGTCCCAGTTTTTTCCATCCGCAAACCTGACATAGCCTGTGCCAGGCTGTGCCTGGGCATCTCCCCCAGCAATCCGAGCTAGAGGGCGGAATCCGCACTGGCCGTCCAGCTGGTCGTGTTGCGCCAAACGGTCGGGACACCGTTTGGCCCGTTCGAGCCCCTTTCTAGGTCGCGCCTAGAACGAGCCTTGCTGGATGCAGATGCCTCTAGGCCAGGAAGTGTTCATAAGAAAGCAAACCTGGCCACTCGCCTTTGCAGCATATAATCTGGAAGGGAAGACCCTGTTGAACTTGACTCAATCGTCTGACTTCTTGAACTGACTAAGCACAGCTCTTGCAATCCACCATATGCCGGTCGAGTCTTTCCGGCCACTTCTTCCGTCTGTCTTGAGCGAACGCAACGGGTGAAACCGGTGACCGATCACCCGCTCAAGGGCTCAAGGTGAGCCGAACCACTCGACTCGGCCTTCCCCGGTTCATTCCCAGCTCTTCGGCCTTGAAGATCCGGTCAGGCAAAGAACTTTGGAGTTGGAGCTGCAACTTGAGTGGCCCGGAAGACGAAGACCGTCGTCTGGGAGTGGTTTTCACGATGGATGGGGTGACTTGAAGTAACAGCAACCAGTTCCAACAACCTTTGCCACAGCGCTGACATTGAACCTCAATATGCCAAGGCTGATTTTCGATATGCCTTTCTTTGATATGTCTAGCATATATTTAAACAATGAAATGGGAGGGCTTGCAATATGTTCACAATGTGACATACATGGCAACTTCTATTCAACTGTCAGAGGGCGGTGGTTCGTCCTAGTGAAGCAGATCGCCTGGGTTTCGCAGCCCACGGATGGAGCCAGCTGTACTTGGGTCCCTCAAAACTGCACGCGCGCGCACACACTTAGATCCATGCTCGCAAGAGCTATATCAGTTTGGAAATTCCCGATTACATTAGACCTTGACTCGCAGGACCCGCAAAACGAAGGGTCGGCAACAGGTATGGTTTGAACTCGAACACAGCTCAGAACAGGTGCAAAGGCCGGCAGTCTTGTTCTAGTTACATCAGGGACCAACAGCGTGAGACCCATCAGCTGCACTTAGATGTCCAGGTGCGGTCAACGGCAGGTACGTTTGCACAAGCAGTGCATGAGAGTCTCGTTGGCTCTCGTCTCATGCAGGCTCCGAGAGCCCCCTGCGAGTCTGTACAAACAGTAATTTAGAATGGGGAAGTTCTAGGAAGTTCTATGGTCAGTCACTTAGCAAAGTGGTCATTCTCCTTGGATACAGGAGGTGACACACACACACACACGCATATTTTAAAGATGCCCTTCATGCAATGAAGGATGCGTTTGGGCAGTGGAGAAAAACATTTACCGTGTTCTTTAAACATGAGACCTCAGTTTTCCCCCAAAAAACTCAGGTTCTTGGGCCCTTCCTTTCGACGACTAGGTGCGAGCGTGGCGACTCGCGAGCGCAGCAGCTCCGACCCAGCTTTCTGGCGCGGAGTGCCGTGCTCGGTGTGCAGAGCACGAAGGGAGGCCAAGTGAAGAGGGGATGCAGCGTGGGGAAGGCAGAGGGCATGCTGAGATTGCAGGAGTCATGAGCAAGATGCAGCGTGGGCCGAAGTTCAGCGAAAGCAGTGAAAGCGTTGTTTCCGTGGTTTTGGTGGGTCAAAGCCCCTTTTTTGGGGGACATCACTTCTTCGCTTTTCATGGAGCTTTGGTGACAGATCGGACACTTTTTCAGTGACAGGTTGACCAAGCTGGAAAGCAGTCTGACATGCTAAGATCAATCAAGATGTATTCTGTCCCCTCCGTC